GACGTAGGTGTTTAGAGCTATGAACTTTCCTCTTACCACTTCCTTTGCTGGATCTCAGTAGTTTTGATAGATTGTGTCATTATTGTCCTTCATTTCAAATAATTTTTAAATTTCCATCTTGATTTCATTTTTGACCCAAAGCTCATTCAGGGGTAGGTGATTTGATTTCCATGTATTTGCAAGGTTTTGAAGGTTCCTTTTGGAGTTGATGTCCAGTTTTATTCCACTGTGGTCTGAGAGAGTGCTTGATATAATTCCAATTTTCTTAAATTTATTGAGTCTCTGAGAGAGTGCTTGATATAATTTCAATATTTTTAAATTTATCAAGGCTCATTTTGTGGTCTATCATATAGTCTATCTTGGAGAAAATTCCGTGCACTGTTGAATAGAATGTGTATTCTCCGGTTGTTGGATAAAATGCTCTGTATATATCTGTTAAGTCCATTTGTTCCTAGGCATAGTTTGAATCCATTGTTTCTTTGTTGACTTTCTGTCTTGATGACCTGTCTAGTGCTGTCAGTGGAGTATTGAAGTCCCCTACTATTATTATGTTGCTGTGTATTTCATTTCTTAGGTCTATTAGTAATTTTTTAATAAATTTGAGAGCTCCAGTGTTAGGTGCATGCATGTTTAGGAGTGTGATATTTTCCTGTTGGACAAGGCCTTTTACCATTATATAATGTCCCTCATTGTTTCTTTTAACTGCTGTTGCTTTCAAGTTTGTTTTGTCTGATGTAAGAATAGCTACCCCTGCTCGCTTTTGCTGTCCATTTGCATGAAATGCCTTTTTCCACCCTTTCACTTTAAGTTTATCTGAGTCCTTATGCCTAAGTTGAGTCTCCTAAGGCAGCGGATAGTGGGTTGGTGATTTCTTATCCATTCTGCAGTTCTGTATCTTTTAGGTGGAGCATTATTTACATTCAATATTAGTATTGAAATGTGAGGTACCATTGCATTTATCATGTTCTTTGTTGCCTGTGTACTTTGTTTTTGTGTGTGCTTTGTTTTTGCTTTTCAACTTGTATTTTTGTCTCATAGGTCCTGTGTAATTTATGCTTTAAAGAGGTTCTGTTTTGATGTGTTTCCAGAATTTTTTCAAGATTTAGAGCTCCTTTTAGCAGTTCTTGCAGTGGTGGCTTGGTAATGGCAAATTCTCTCAGCATTTTTTTGTCTGAAAAAGACTGTATCTTTCCTTCATATATGATGCTTAGTTTCACCCAATACAAAATTCTTGGCTGAAAAGTATTTTGTTTGAGGAGGCTGAAGATAAGGCCCCAGATCCTTCTAGCTTTGTAGGGTTTCTGCTGAGAAATCTGCTGTTAATTTGATAGGTTTTCCTTTATAGGTTACCTGGTGCTACTGCCTCACAGCTCTTAAGATTCTTTCCTTCGTCTTAACTTTGGATAACCTGATGACAATGTGCCTAGGTGAAGATCTTCTTGCAACAAATTTCTTGGGTGTTCTTGTGCTTCTTGTATTTGGATGTCTGGGTCTCTAGCAAGGCCAGGAAAGTTTTCCTTGATACTCCCAAATATATTTTCCAAGCTTTTAAAATTATCTTCTTCCTCAGGAACACTGATTATTCATTCTGAGTTTTGGCCATTTAACATAATTCCAGACTTCTTGGAGGCTTTCTTCATATTTTTTTTTTCTCTTTTCTTTGTCTTTGTTGGATTGGGTTAATTTGAACACCTCGTCTTTGAGTTCTAAGTTTCTTTCTTCTACTTGGTTCAATTCTATTGATGAGACTTTCCAGAGTATTTCGCATTTCTAAAAGTGTGTCCAAAGTTTCCTGAATTTTTCATTGCTTTTTTTCTTTAAGCTATCTATTTCCTTGAATATGTCTCCCTTCACTTCTTGTATAATTTTTTTGAATTTCCTTGCATTGGGCTTCGCCTTTCTCTGGTCCCTCCCTGATAAGCTTAATAACTAACCTCCTGAATTCTTTTTTAGGTAAATCAGGAATTTCTTGGTTTGGATCCACTGCTGGTGAACTAGTGTGATTTTTTTTTGGAGGGGGGTGTTGAAGAGCCTTGTTCTGTCATATTACCAGGGTTGGTTTTCTGGTTCCTTCTCACTTGGGTAGGCTCTGTCAGAGGCAAGGTCTAGGGTGGAAGGCTGTCGTTCAGATTCTTTTGTCTCATGGAGTGTTCCCTTGATGTAGTACTCTCCCCCTTTTCCTATGGATGCGGCTTCCTGTGAGCTGAACTGCAGTGATTGTTATCTCTCTTCCGGGTCTAGGCACCTAGCAAGTCTACCCGGCTCCCGGCTGGTACTGGGAGTTGTCTGCACAGAGTGCTGTGATGTGAACCGTCTATGGGTCTCTCATCTATGGATGTTAGTGCCTTTTCTGGTGGAGGTTGGGGGGATGGGTGTGCAGTGGACTCCGTGAGGGTCCTTAGCACACTAGATCAGTGGAGTTATGTACCTATGAGGATTATGGATGCCTCTGCTGAGTCATGCAGGTTGTCAGGGAAGTGGGGGTAAGCCGGCAGTCACAGGCCTCACCCAGTTCCCATGCAAACCAAAGGACAGGTCTCACTCCCACTGTGTCCCCTGCCAACAGCCCCAGTCTGTTTCCAGGTGGAGGGCTAGATGGCTTGAAAACCTGCCCCAGGCTATCTACTTCCCAGCTGTGAAAGAAAAGGGCTTGGTTCCTTCCCAGCCTGTGGAGTCTGCACACCAGATTTGCCCTCCCCTGAGTTCTGGCCAGGAGGCTTCTCACCCCATTCAAATTGTTACAAAGTTCAGCTAGAGATTTCCTTCTCCCTGTGCAGTTTTACTCCTTGCTCCTCTGTCTACCCTCCCCATGGATCCCTGTGGTACCAGGCAGGAATGGGCTGCTTAGGGACCCAGTGAGCTCCCAGGGCCTTATTGCTGCTTCCTCTACCCCTGTATTTCACTCGGCTATCTTGACTCAGCTCCAGGTAAAGTCAGAAACTTCTTCCACAAACAGACTTTCAGCTTCTCCAGTGGGGGTGTGTGTTCGGGAGAAGAGGGTCTCCCTTTCTCACCTCCACATTTGGGGCACTCACAGTTTTAGGGGGCTCTCCTGGGTCCTGCAGGAGTAGCCCGCTTCCTTCAGAGGGTCTGTGGGTCCTCTTGGGATTGCTGGTTTGTTCTTATAGTCAATCTGGAGCTAAAATTCATAATGCGAGCCCCCACACGCTGCTCCGCCCGGAGCTGCAATCTAGTCCTACCTCCCATCTGCCAGGATGATTGCTGTCTCCAGTCCTTCATTCATGATCACCTGGGTTGATTCCATGTCTTTGCTATTGTGAATTGTGCACCAGTGACCATACGAGTGCATGTCTTTTTGGGAGAACAATTTGTTTTCCTTTGAGTATATTCCCAGTAATGGGAGTGCTGGGTCAAATAGTTGTTTTTCAAGTTCTTTGAGAAATCTCCAAACTGCTTTCTGCAGTAAGCCCTCTCTTTAAATAGCTAGGTTTGTGATTGCTATTTAGTTTACATATTAAACCCCCTTCATATTTATTTACATGTAAATAGTTGATGAAATATTTCATTTAGAGAATAGAGTGAATAGGAGATGAGGAAGCAAAGATTACAAGTCGAGACAATTTTCGTACTTCTAAAATTGGTAATACATTGGTTTGAAATGTTTTTTATTTCTTATGAAAATAAATGTTGGCCGGGCGCAGTGGCTCACACCTGTAATCCCAGCACTTGGGGAGGCGGAGGTGGGCAGATGGCCTGAGGTCAGTTCGAGACCAGCCTGGCCAACATGGTGAAACCCCGTCTCTACTAAAAATACAAAAATTAGCTGGGTGTGGTGGCCAGGCACCTGTAATCTCAGCTACTCAGGAAGCTGAGGCAGGGAGACTCACTTGAACCCGGGAGTCGGAGCTTGCAGTGCGCCAAGATTACACCATTGCACTCCAGCCTGGGCAACAGAGCAAGACTCCGTCTCAAAAAAAAAAAAAAAAAAAAAAAAGAGAGAGAGAGAGAGAAAGAGAGAAGATAAATGTTATGCATATATTCCTGAAACCTACTTATCCCATTCAACAACATATTTTTATATTTCAATGTTAAGAAATACAAATCTATATCACAACTTTAATGACTACATAGAATTCTATATTTGAGGACATTTCATGATTTATTTAAATTGATTCTAAAAATTTTAAGCAATAAATAATGCTATGATAAATATTTTTGTATGGTCATATTTAAACAAGTATGTGATTCTATTTTTTTCAAGCATATAATCAAACCTGGAATAGCTGAATCATTGGGTATGACATATTTTAGGCTTCTGGTACAAACTGACATTTATTTATAAAAGGACAGTTTTCATAAGAAGAAAAAAATACAAAACAAGATGTTCAGTACTTCACATATTTTAGCATTTAACAGCTTGAAACAACACATCTCTTTGCTGTTCTTCTAAATGTTAAGATCACATTTCAAACACACTCATCTCGTTAGGCTTGGCCAACACTCTGTTGTAACTGGCTACCCACCTAATTATTAGATTATTAATAAAAGCAAGCACAAATAAGAAAAAGAGAAAGAGAATAGTCTTCAAGTTTAGCTGAATATTTGAAATGTCAATGCAGTGTCAAAATTTGCTGCATGGTTTGGATGTAGTCAATTAAAAGTGTCTTCTCTCTATACTTTTGAAATCCCTATTACCCTGGCATCCAGTACTTTTATTTTTTTAAATTTATTTTTATTATTTATTTTTATTATTTATTTTTGAGATGGCATCTGACTCCCTCACCCATGCTGGAGAGCCGTGGCGTGATCTTGGCTCACTGCAACCTCTGCCTCCTGGGTTCAAGTGATACTCCTGCCTCAGTCTCCCAAGTAGCTGAGACTACAGGTGTGCACCACTATGCCTGGCTAATCTTGTATTTTTAGTAGAGAAGGGGTTTCACCATGTTGGCCAGGCTGGTCTTGAACTCCTGACCTCAGGTGATCACCCGCCTTGACCTTCCGAAGTCCTGGAATTATAGGCATGAGCCACTGCGCCCGGCCCCAGTTACTTTTAAAACCTTATTCAAGTACATGTTGCAAATGAATCCAGCTTCTAGGCTGGTGCATAAATTGTAATTTGAAGTTTTAGTTCAATAAGTGAAGCATAATGACTTATGCCATTTTTCCAACGTAAATGTTACCAACCAGAACTATGCTTGGGAGGAAGAACAGGGAAGGGATGTCAGGAAACCCTGAACTTCCTTCCACTTGTTCCAAATTAACTCATGTGTCTCCTGTTTTATAAATGCCTTTGGGAGGAGATACTACTGTCATTCTGCAATAAAGATGAAGCGTGAATTCACTATATATCAGCATGTGCATATTTAAGATCAAAGTGTTTCCTGAAGTTGTGACAGTGCGAAGAGAGAGTTGGCTGAGTGCTAGAAGTATTGCAGGGTTGACGAGGATGGCAGCTTCACCTGGAAGGGCTTTACAAGAGCTGAGAGTCTGGAGGCAGTCTTTGGAGAATTCATAACTCTCTAGGTAACTGCATTAGTCATCAATGTAATCAGCCTTATTCTTTCTTCTGAGGCGGGAAAGGGGTGCTGATGAGGCAAGATTCCGAACATTTGTGGATTCCTGGTTGTATACTACTGCTGTAAGACCTTTTAACTGAATTTGGCCACACGCCTTTGGGCATCAGAAATTCGTATCTTAATACATGTAGTTGCTGGAGTCAATACATGTTTAAATTGATATACTGTATCCATTATATTGATTTCAATTCTCTCTCATTGATCCTAGAATAATTTAAAAGAAAAGACTAGACATAATTATGAACCACAAAAGACAGTAGATACACAAGTAAGTAATAAATGTTTTACAAACTTAAGTAATATACAGACCCCTCTTTAAAGGAAAATGATTTTCTCATGGGCCACTTAGTGTTTACTTAAAATATTTTAATTGTAATGTTAAAATGTATAAATATAAACTTGATATGCATGCCTTATGCTTATACAGCTTACAAACAAAAATATACTTACAAATTAAATATAAACAAGGCTACAGAGCTGAGTAAACTTAAAGTTAACAACATTTATTTAGTGTGACACTTGATGTTGTTTTGCTAATATTAAGGCCCTCCTTGCTATGTGCATACAGCATGACATAGATTCTTTGGAATTTAGTGATCCATCTCATTGCTCTTGACTGCCCATTGGGAAAGATGCTCAATCTCTATCCTGTGGATTTTCTTGGAACTCCTATAAGCTCCAGGAATAAGTTAGGGTGTGCCTGGGTGTGCCTAATTAGGTACCATTGCCCCAAAATCTGTACTTGGATTTGTACTAAATAAACACAAGCACCCAGGGTTAGTATAAGATTTATTGCATTTTTTTAAGTTTTAAAAGTAAAAATGAGATCATAGGCACTGCCCATGGCCTCTTTGGGCTCTTCATCTATGTCTCCACATTTCTGGAAACTCTTTTTAAGTGCCTTCTAGAATTCTGTATCAGTCATCAAAAATATTTATACGAAAGTTTGAGACAGGCAATTTTCTTTCAGTTGGAAGTAGTTGTTTCTACCTTGCTTGTATGGGGAGGGGTCTCTAATATGCACCCAATAGTAATAGTCCCTGGGCTTTGTCTCCTGTCCTGCTTGCCTACCAAGGCCATGAAAACCTAAATTCTCCTTTACCTAGTTTGACAAATGCCCTCAGTTGAAATCCAGTTTTACTCCTCAGCTTGTTTTCTGAAAGATGGTCATGCCCTGCTTCTGGAAATGGAAATTCCAGATCTTACCTTCGTAATTACTTGCTGTACTCCCATCCCCAATGCCTGATGCAAGCATTTCAGTGATGCTGTTCCTTCTCCTCCAAGGTCAGGTGGGTTTCTAGTTGCACAGTAACAGTAATATGGAAGAGTAGACCTACCTGTGAAAATTCACAGAGACAACCTGGTTTCTGCTTTCCAAATTCTCATCCTCTAATGAAGGAATCATAGTCAGCACAAAAGCATGATAGAAATACAAATGATAAAAATGTCAGAAACCCAGACATAGACTGTCACATGGCTGGGCATAAGGACATGAAAGACCAATTCTATGATTGTATCGTAGATACTTCTCAGCTTTTTTTTTTTTTTTTAAGTTCGGAGGCATATATGCTGTTTGTTACATAGGTAAATTTGTCATGGGGGTTTGCTGTACAGACTGTTTGATCATCCAGATATTAAGCCTAGTACTCATTAGTTGTTTTTCTGATCCTCTCCCTCCTCTCACCCTTCACTAGGCCCTGGTTTGTGTTGTTCCTCTCTCTGTGTCCATGTGTTCTCATCATTTACCTCCTACTTATAAGGGAGAACATGCAGTTTTCCGTTCCTGTGTTAGTTTACTAAGGATAAAGGCCTCCAGTTGCATCCCTGTCCCTGCAAATGACATGCTCTCATTCTTTTTTATAGCTGCATGGTGTCTCTCAGCCTTTTGTTTTGCTTTGTTTTGTTTTGTTTTGTTTTCTTGAGATGGAGTTTCACTCCTTTTGCCCAGGTTGGAGTGCAATGGTGCGATCTCGGCTCACTGCAACCTCCGCCTCCCAGGTTCAAGTGATTCTCCTGCCTCAGCCTCCCGAGTAGCTGGAATTACAGCCAACCACCACCATGCCCAGCTAATTTTGTATTTTTAGTAGAGATAGGGTTTCACCACATTGGCCAGGCTGGTCTTGAACTCCTGACCTCAGGTGATCCGCCCACCTTGGCCTCCTAAAGTGCTGGGATTACAGGCACGAGCCACCGCGCCTGGCCTTCTCTCAGCTTTTTAAGAGAGCATTAAACTAAATGGGGCTCCTCTGATAATCTGTGACTACCAATTAGCTCTCATGTTTCCATAGACTGCTAGGACACCTTGTCCTCACTCTTTAAAAAAGAGAGACCTGGCTCTAGCTCCCCTGAGTAAGCCACCTCTCTGGTCTCCAGAAATTGCAAAGTAAGAGGGCTGAGCATAGTGGGCCAGGTGATCTGGGGAGAAGGAGGCAGGGGTATGGAAATGAAGGAGAAAGGTGTGGCGGGGGTGAATGGTAGGAGAAGGGAAAGCTGAGGACAAGAGGAGGGGGCTCGTTTTTGTAGAACACTCTCAGGTGGACCTGGACATCGCTACCTAGAGCAATGTTCCTTAAACGTGCCCAGATAGGAAGTATAATTACAAAAGTAAGAACTTGCATTTTCAGAGAGCTTTCCCTTGGAAATTCTCATTCAGCAAGTCTAGAGCAAGGGCTATGGTATCTAAATGTTTCTGTTTAACAAGTGATATCATGCTAAATAAAATACAACTTGTATAAAATAAGGGAGTTCCTAAATTATGTCTGGCACACAATCCAATCCAGAGTTCATGGAATATTGGAATGCATGGAGATATAACAATCTTAGAACAAAACATTTCTAAGGAGTGTAGGAAAAAAAAACACAAAAATCCAAAATATCTGAATTTTGTTCATTTTGAGAGCATTAAGCCTACCCTCAGTAGTTGTCCAGGTTTCTAAGAGTTAAGGTGAAGACACGGCATGACTGATGCGTAGTACTCTGCAACCAAAGCTTTAGGAGGGGAACTGGGGAAGGAGGCATGTTGCCTTATGCCACCTGGTGGCAGAATTGGGTAGTTAATGAAGACCAGCTGGAAGTCAAATGACTTAGGTCCTTCAACAACTACTCATTAAGTCTTTTGAAAAAAATCACTTAAAATCTGAGTCTGTTTTCTCATTTTAGAAAAGATTACTATTTCCTTAAATTATGTTTTTGATACAAGCAATGAGACTTTAAAAGTAAAATAAAATATTAAGTATTCTTTTTATCATTGCTAATGCTGTTTTCCCATTTATAAGTGAGGGAAAAACTTATTTTTCCAGGGATATTCCTTTTTCTATTGATTAAGATGGTGAACAGAAGGTGGCTGGTCAGAAATGAATGGGGAATGTGTTCAATGAGAGAGATCTCTGCTATCCTCCTCTTCATCTATTCTATTTTCCCAATTCTCTAGAATGAGACAGGCTACTATGAAGATGTCAGATGGCTGACTGAGGCTTTCAGAAAAGACAGATCTCACCAGTAGCTGCAGAATATGGTTACCTACTATGATGGTTAATTTTATGTGGCGACTTTCCTGGGTCATTGTGCCCAAATAGTTGGTGAAACATTATTCTGGATGATTCTGTGAAGGTGGATTTTTTGGGATGAGATTAATATTTAAATTGGTAGACTAAAGCAGATTACTCTCCAAAATGTAGGTAGACCTCATTCAATCAGTTGAGGGCCTTGACAGAACAAAGACTAACCTCCCCTGAGCAAGAAGGAATTCTGCCAGCAGACTGCCTTTAGACTCAACCTGCAAATCTTTCCTGGGGCTCCAGGTTGCAACCCTGCTTTGTAGATTTTGGTTTATCCAGCCACCACAATCTTGTGAGCCAATTCCTTATAGTGTCTCTCTCTTCTTTCTCAAATCTCTCTCTCTCTACACACACACACACACACACACACACACACACACAGAGTTGATTTTATTTTCTAGAGAGCTGTGACACTTGTGAAGGTGTTAGATAATTGGAACTTTTGAGGAAGACATATATCCCAGTTGCTAGAGAATATGGTTACCTACATGGTGAGAATTGAAAGGTACTAGAAAAGTCTGCTCTCTTTATAGAATCTTCTCTAACACTCTTAAGTGTGGGTTGAAGTTAGGGGTGACCTAACTCAGTTGATGTGGCTCCATTTCCCTGAGATTCTCTTTGTTCTGCTCACCCCTGTGTGGTCGCTCCATTCTCAAGAATGGTAGCAGGAAGCCTCCAACAGTTTCAGCCTCACACAAAAAATCTGGAAGATAAGAAACTGCTTCAGTTCTAGTATTCAAAGAAATTCACCCTGATTAAACTGTCAATTGCTGACTAGGACTCTGGCTTGGGAAACGGAACTTAGTATTTAAGATAATCCTGGGAGATTGGGGTGAAATCAGTTTTCCCTAAGACTTATGGAATCAAAGTGCTACATGGATACATGAAAAAAATCCTGGTTCTGCTAAGGTGAGGGAAGGTGAATGGATGTTGGGTAGATCACCAATAATGTCCACCAGACACTCACCTAGTACCAGCAATCGATTTATCACAATATAACACACAAGTGATGATACTCAAACTATGCTAGTGCTAAGGAACCAGTAAAGAATAGTGGGGATTATGGTAAACAAGAATAACACGATCTATTAATAAAAGAGAAGCCACGCCGAGCGCGATGGCTCATTGCCAGTAGCAGTGGCTCACGTCTGTAATCCCAGCACTTTGGGAGGCTGAGGTGGGTGGATCGCCCGAGGTCAGGAGTTTGAGACCAGCCTGGCCAACATGGTGAAACCCCATCTCTACTAAAAACACAAAAATTAGCCAGGTGTGGTGGCGTGTGCCTGTAGTCCCAGCCACTTGGGAGGTTGAGGCATGGGAATTGCTGGAACCTGTGAGGTGGAGTTTGCAGTGAGCCAAGATCGTGCCACTGCACTCCAGTCTGGGCAACAGAGTAAGACTCTGTCTCGAGAAAAAAAAAAAAAAAAAGCCACTACTGGGCTCTAAGCAATGTGATAATGCAAAAATATAACCCTTCTGTTGCAAGATCATCAACATTTTCCAGAGAAACTGATAATTTGTATTTTTATGTAAAATAGCCATATTTTAAATGGTGGCAACTAAGTTCATTTTTGTTCTTGTTTTTGACCACACAGGACAGCCAATACTGTCTAAAATAAACAAAGCATAACTGTTGGCTAAATGCAGCCTGTGAACCTCTAGTTTACAAGCTCTGGGCTAGAAAAACCATTCCTTGCCATTCAGTAGTTCTATGAATGAAAGGCTTGCAAAGAGTAGAGGAACCAAGGAAGATGAGAGAATGAGTGTCATTGTCTCATACAATGCTTTTCGGCAGGTGGGTCCCCACTCACATGTTCTCAGGCTCCCGCTTCACTGAATGAAATGTGAAGTCCACTTGGGGCCAGTTAATTCTTTCCAACATAGTCAAGGTGTTCTACTGCCAGGCACCAGGAATACTTGTTTTCCTGGTGTTGACTATCTTACTTCATTTACAGGTAAGCCCTAGCAGGTACAGGGACAAAAGTCTTCACACTACCAGAAATCCAGTGTAGATTAGGTTCTTTTTCCCCAAGAAGCCTAAATTCTATTTTTTTAAAAAGATATAGCGATCATTCTTCCATTTCTGGATCCTTAGCTGACGTCATTAGGTAGTTTATCACAGTTCTGCGAGGCATACAGTTTTTCATTAATAGGTTAATTACCGTCCTATCATTAAAGCGCATTTAGCTTAACTGAATGGAAAATAGCAGTTTGTCATAAACTAAAAAAAAAAAAAATCAATGCTTAATTAGCTTAAAATAGACTAGTACTGAGATCAGAGACTAATTGGCGTTTATCTTTTTCCTGGACAATTTCTTGTTCCCAAAAAAGCACAAGAGCAGTAGTTGTCAATCCTGTTTACGCATTACAATCTAGCGGGTGGAAATGTGGGGTTTGGGAGGAGGAGATGAAGGGAACGCTTTTTTAAAAAAGCTTTTGTCCAGGCCCTACCCTAGAGGGGCCAAAACTCCCTAAAGCGATTCTAATGTGTAGACAGGGCAGAATACCGTTCCCTGGGCGGGGGAAAAATCCCCAAGATCTGAAATTCCTCAAATCCCTCAGATTCTCTCCAGAACTCTTCATTTCAGCACGAAGTGGCACCAAGGAACAATTTTCTGAGGTGTCTGAGGCTAGTAATTTCCCCGGAGATTGACGGGACCATCAGCCAATCGGCCGTCTGAACGCGTGATGGTAACCCCAATGACAAGCAACAGAATGAGCAACTTTATCCCAGCAGAAAAAACAGATCGCAGTAGCAAAGGTCAGCAAGTCACAAAAGCCAAGGGCTCGCCATCGGGTATCAGCGAGGCCCGGGTATACTCTTGGAGGTAGTAGCCAAGAGATGGTCCTGCGCTTGCCCAGCGTTGTTAGAGAGGCGGGGCTGGCTCAAGCTTCTCGAGCCCTCTCTGTACGTCACTTCCGCCCGGCGGGGTCTCATAGTCCTGTGGGCTGGGTTGAAGCGACTTCCTTTTTTCTTTCCCTTTTTCCTCTCCGTGGCCCCGCCTCCCGGAAGTTCTGCCCCGTCTCCGCCGCGGGTCAAGGGTGAGCGCTGGAATTGCTGCACGGGCCTTGGTGAGTAACTGCTGTGAGTTTTATTCCTGCGCAGCGCCAGTTCAAAGAACTTAGGTTAGATCCCGCTTGGGGCCCAGCATGCGGTGCCGGGCCTCAGGAGTCTCCACCCTCTCCGGTTCTGGGGCCGTCAGTCTCCTGGCCTGCAATTATCCACGCGGAGGCTGAGGTCTTTGGCTTTTCGCGAGTTGGTTTGCAGCCTTGTTCTGCTTCTGTCTCTTCTCTCTCCAGGCGAGGTCCTACTCAGGTTGTTGCCAGCGATAGTCCTCTTCTGGAGCTTGAATTGAAAGCATAGTAGTCTTGTTAGTCTCGGTGATGGCTGGGTTGCTTCCTGAAGTAGCCAAAGTGCTTTAGCGTCCATTCTGCCTCCTTTGAGCACCCTGGGAGGTAAGCAGGGCAAACGAAAAATATATTCGTTAATATTGTGCAGTTGAGGAAACTGAAATTCTTGGCGAATTCACTGTTTCAAAGCAACACGGCCTCTAAGAGGCAGAACTGGGATTCGCACCCAGGTCTGACTTCGGTAGGGTTGCACAAAACAGTAGAGAGAGCGTTTGGAAATAGGGGAGACACTGCAAAGGTTAAAAGAAGAGCTGGGGTTTCTGAGTGCTTACTTTGTGTTCGGCATTGTGCCAAGTTCTTTCTATAATTATATCATCCTTAAAAAAAAAAAAAAAGCATAGGAAGTGTATACTGTGGTTATTTATTCCTGGGTTAGGAAACTGAGGCTCAGAGATGATAACTGACTTGTCTAATATTAATGACTTGAGTAGGCGTTTCACAGATCTCTTTTAGCTCTGTGATTCTTCCCACACTGTAGTGTTAACTTCTGGCATAATCAAACTGCCCTTTTCTGATTTTGGCATTACAGGAAGGGAGATTCCAGAACTTTAGTTTTGGTCTTTTCACCCTTTGCCCATTGTCTCATTTCTTATCACCATCCTATTTAGAAATTTATTTTCATGTAAATTTAGCTTTGGCTTTTTTTTTTTTTTTTTGAGATGGAATCTCGCTCTGTCGTCCAGGCTGTCGTCCAGGAGTGCAGTGGCGCGATCTCGGCTCATTGCAAGCTCTGCCTCCCGGGTTCACGCCATTCTCCTGCCTCAGCCTCCCGAGTAGCTGGGACTACAGGCGCCCGCCACCACGCCCGGCTAATCTTTGGTATTTTTATTAGAGACGGGGTTTCACCGTGTTAGCCAGGATGATCTCGATCTCCTGACCTCGTGATCCGCTCACCTTGGCCTTCCGAAGTGCTGGGATTACAGGCATGAGCCACCGCGCCCGACCCGCCTTGATTTTTACTCTACAATTTAATTTTTTTTTCCTCCAAGAGGAATATGGAGATAGTTGTGGAATTAATGGATCCAGGTTAAAGGGTTGGCCAGAAAAATTTCTGGTTTTTACTCTATTGTTGCTTTCCTTACGTATATTATGTCAGTTTCTCCCTTTTTTTTTTTTCTGTCAGGATAACCGCTGTCATCTGCTGCCAAAATGTCAGGAATTGGAAATAAAAGAGCAGCTGGAGAACCTGGCACCTCCATGCCTCCTGAGAAGAAGGCAGCTGTTGAAGATTCAGGGACCACAGTGGAAACAATTAAGCTAGGAGGTGTCTCTTCAACGGTATGAGGAAACAGTGCTATGAAAATGTGTTTTTCTTCTGTCAGTTGCAACTTGAAACTAAAAATTCATGGAAGCTTTCTGGAGTGTGGGGAAGCTGTTTGAAAGAAGAGGGAGATCAAACAGGCTGAAAGTAGGTAAAATGATGTGGTAGTCAGTTCTGGAGGAGAGGTAGATTGACAGTTGTTTGTTTTCAAGGTGTACTTACATTCTTTTGAGAATCTGGGAATGTGGTGCCTGATCCAACGTTAAGTATAGGTATTTAGCAGTAGGAAGATACACATTTATTTTTCATTCACTGAGAAAGTCAGTACCAGATTCTAAGAGACAGTTTAGCAATCATTGAGAGTGTGGTGAAGAGTGAGAGTCTGAGACCAGACTGCCTGGGGTTGACTCTGAGCTGTACCACTTCCTAGCTGGCTGACCTTGTGTTCTCCTTCCTTTGCCTGTTTTCTTGTCTGTAAAATATAATTAGAGTATCTGCTACCTTAGATTTTTATGCAGATAAAATGAGAGTCCCTGTTAAGGGCTAAGACTTTGCATTTAATATAGTAAATAGTCAATAAATGTGAGCCATTCATAGCTAGTATTGGGCTAGATAATATAATGGTGCATAACATAGATATTATCCTTGCTCTTATGGAGCTGACAAAATGAGTATTATATACTAAAAATCTCATAGTAATGTTATGTATCTGTTAGACGTCAGAAGTTTACAGGTTTTGATCTACATCAAGATTTTGCTTTTTTGAAAATCAGACATGGGGATGTGATGTTAAAATGCCTTACGTTTGTATGGCTTGCAAAACCACATCTATTACTTATTTGATTTTGAGACTGGGGTTTATTTTAGAGAAGTTGATTTTTTTTTTTTTTTTTTGAATCAGAATAATAGGAACATACATAGTGAGTTGTTGATGGAGTGTCATTCCTGAAGCTTCCTGGAGTTCTGGTACTTAATATTGCTGGCAGGAAGTGATTTTTGTCTTAGCACTGCCTTACATCATGCATTCCAAAGGCATTTATTCACTCAATATATAAATATTTGTTGAGTATTTGTTATTTGCCAGACACTGTGCTTTACATTGAAAACATCCCCTAGACTTTAGTTTGTAGGGTAGCACTGACAAGGGAATAGACTGTTTAGAATGGGATATGTGCTGTTCATAGGGATAAGCACATACTTATGGGAAGCACATAGCACACACCCCAGTGTGGACTTTATCCAGAGGCAATGAGGAGGCATTGGATAGTCTTAAGTAGGGGAGTAACATGCTCTGACTTGTGTTTGGAGACTATAGAAGAGCAAGGGTTATAAACAAGAGGCCAGTTAGCAGCGTTTTTTCTTCACTCCTTCTGACTCTCTTTTCCTGTAACTCTATTTCTCCAGAGGTAGGGATCTGAGGCA